AAATACGAAAAACTAAATAATCTCAGATCATCTTTAACCTTGAACTCCTGAGGGTCATATTTAATTATTTAGGGTCATTATTAACAACCTGCCATATATTGTAAAACAGGTTAGTTTTAGCTTTCGTATGGCATTCTGATATATTTAAACCCAATTAAATATAAAACATATGCTAAAGATTGCGTGACGCAGAAAAGAAACCATGTTACGTACGAACACTAATAGAACGGCCATAAATAAATTCGTCACATCAACTTTAAAGCATGGGAAACAATAAGTCTAAATTGTGAATCTATTTTGTTTAAAAAAGTTAAGTTTATTAAAAATTCTCACTTAGATATTCTTACCCAAGACGTGTCACTTTCATGGAGATACATTAATTAAATCTGTCCGTTATGGTCTGATACTAAAGGACAGTAGTGAAACAGTTTTTATCCAATTATAAAACAATATATGCCAAGTGTTTTCTGGGTCGAGTCATTTGATCCATGATGCTGACCAATCGAACTGAACTACTTTACCAAGAATATTCGCCATCTTCAGTGTTTTCGCCTTGCTCAGTTGTTATCCCTGACTAGTCACTGACGATGTTGACAAGCGAGCGAAAGCAAATAGAAATGATCGGAATCGACCAGTTAATGGTGTGTGCAATGAAAAAAAAAAAGACAAATACACGAAACAACATACGCATGGATATATTCACCTCTCTGATAGGCGACCAAACGGGTTGAACTGTTGGCAATGTACAAAGCTGTAGAGTGATGTCTATGATATCCCAGAGTACGTACGAAGTTTGCTGAAAATCAAGTAACAATCGAAACTTAAAATCATCCAATATATCACCAAGCTAAGTGAAGGTTTTGCAATGGTACAAGCTCTTAGGCCCAAAACAACCGATTTAGCCAAAACAGTCTTTTTTGGGAGGATGAGATGCTACCCCAGGCTGTTTGAAGCAAACCGGGATGACCATTTAGCTTAGGTTCAAGAGGGGATAAACCAAAGTCAAAGATTTTGTTTGCCTCAATCTGCTCCGGGCACAATCTGTCATTGCCTGGTGTTGTTTCGTGAATCCTGGTGGTTAAGTAGCATACAACACATATTTGTCCAAGTCCCATGCCTCTATTTTTATAGAATGACCAGCAGCTGCTATTGAAAACATTGCGGACCCAATGATTCATTTTCTGCTGATCAGAACAAAGCCAAGGGGGCCAGAAACCCCTTCATTGACATTTTTAAAGGTTTATTTTGAGAAAAAGATAAATAAATTGTCAGAAGCGAGAAAAAACGTAAGGCAATTGGAAGAAATGTATGATTAACCCTTTCAAACAATCCAATGATACACCAGTTCATCAGAAATTACGTTGTCAATCAATTATGGCGCCAGTACATCAAAATATAATATGGATTCATAAATATATTATAAGGTATTATACTTGTCACATAATCAGACCGTACCCCCTGAAAAGGAGTCTTTACTACCATGGTTCACAAATGGCTAAACATTTTTTGCGTGCAGTGTGGTTTGACATTGTTACAGTCATATTCAGTCTCAATCAAACCTTTTGTTTCGGTTTTAGATTCCGGTGTGTTTTGGGCCTTTGGGTAACTTAATGAATAACATGGCCAATAAGAGTATGAAGAGGCAGCACAAGTAGAACAATTGGTTGCAACTGAATTCTCCCAGTAGCTAATAAGTTTCTGATAGGTGACTTATGAAAATATCACAACACAATGAAGCAGCGAATTACACGAGAGAGCATATAAATAAAAATTTACTCACCATCAACGATGTCTCAAAAAACTTACAAAGCCAAAGTTATGACAGCGCAAAAGTCCCACTTCTTAGTTAGGTCGTTTCCTATCATTTGGTCTGCCTATTCTCTATGTTTTGGTCTGACGTTTTTGGCTTCTTGTCACCTTCCAAGGTGAGTCTGCGAATGATCGGAAACGACCCAACTTCAGGGTTATCACACAGCAGATCCCAAGAGGAAATCTCCCCCTCTCCAAAAAAAATCGTCTTTTAGACAAGCTTGAGGCGAAATATTTACGGACTTTTATGTCCCGTATGGTCATTCTCCTCGACAAAGCTACACCCTTTGAATAAGCAATGACAGATCATGCATTCAGAGAGCAAGAGACCGTTTTGCATATCAATTATGCATCCGAAGCATCCTTTTTACTTTTACTGTTCCTCAACGCGCACCTCTCACTAAATAGTAAATAGAAAAAGACACAAGGTAAAGCAAATTATGCAATTCTCTCTAAACCCAAACTTGGGGCAGCAGGAAATTTTACAAGTGTCAGCATTTTTATGGAATCTTCTTCACGGTTCTTATTCGAACTTATCAGGATTAAAATTAACGACTCCAACCGTTCGATTTATTGTTTGGAGTAGAGTATAGAAGAGTGGCTTTGATTGCTATTGGAACAATGCCCGCATTATCTGATTACTTCGCAGAACTTGATTGTACCGCGTTCTAATTAGGATTCCATTGCGAAATGTCTATGATATGACGAGGGGTTAAAAAAAATTGTAACTGAGACATTGGATAATTTCCGAAAAAATTACAATGACGGGGCGAAATGGGCGGAAAGGAAGTGATGGATGCTTTAAAAAGGACGATCTATGGAGCCGATACACGGGTGTAACCTATCCTCATCCACTGCCGGTCAATCTCGACTACAAAGCTGGACGTGTGCGCTTCTCAACATTAGCCATTTTTAAAATAATTAAAATATCAACGGAAAGAAAATGTTTTAGAAGATTTTTTAACATTGTTCGCCTTGGAACATTCACAGTTATTACAAAAAAAAAAAAATGGTCATTTTGTGTGAAAATCTAAAAATCAAGTCTGTTGAGGGAGGTCTTGGAGGAAGTCGAGCGTTTTGGCTAATTTTGTCAAAAACTGTTCTTAATTTCATTTCCGAACACTTCTTCGCTTCCGAGACGAGGAAAAAATTAGTGTCCCAGAAAATATATACGACAAAAGTATTTTATCATATTATGCAAACATAAAAAATAAACAACCACGCTCCAAATTAAACAAGCAAAAAATTTAAATGTTAAATAAAATTATAATAAATAAATTTTATAAAATATCAAATAGTCGTTCAACCTCTTCACTCTCCAGAAGACGGAGTACTACCAAATTAATTAATACCCGATTTTAAGTTGGTTTATAGTTATTACTTTTATCGTCCATCATAAACTTGTTAGAAATTGTTTAATATTATTTTCTTTCTCTTTTAAAATGACGTACTTGATGATGATGATAATAGTGTGGTCTGGTGTGATGTCGGTTAGAAAAACATTTTCTTTATCGTGGTTCGATCTGTATTGAGATCATCTTCAGAGTTCAAAGTGTGAGTTTTCTGTATAGATGTGTTACTGTTGTACATCGTGTTGAGAGTGTTCTGATATTGAATATGGCCCTGTAGTGAAAGTGTTTTCTCAGTTGTCAATGACCGGTACATGACCCTTGGATTTAACCCTGTAACTGTATGCCAGTTTGGACAATAGTTCTTTAAACATGAATTCACTTCGTCTGGCAATTCTGGATTTTATCCACTTCTCATTTTGAGTACTTTGGATCCATCCTGAGGTGGAGGCGTTTGATCTCGTTATCCGTAAGGTATAGGTTCTACGCAGTTATATGATCTTAATTCTTTCATGCACTGGCACTCAAGCTATTATCAGGTTGTGTTTTCCCAGGGTTTGGAGATTGTGGATGCTTTCACGGACTACTACTGACCGATACGATTACTGACTCCGTGAAATTCGCATTTTATAGGTGGTTTCAAATGCTTTCAAAAAATTACTGCAAGATCAAAAATCAGATTAAAATGATAAACATTAATTGGCAAGCCTTGGAAAAATGTATCAAATATTCTACAAAAATTGATAACTTTTATTACCTTCTTAAGGTAACATAGCCCAATAAATGGAGTTTCCAATTAGCAGCATGGGTTTACTGAAGATGAAACAAAGGCGATCTCGAAAACTTATTTTTTGAACAAACTGCTTATAATTTATAGTTGATCAAGTTCCTGATGCTATCTACATTAATATTATTACCCAATAATCTTCTCTAAGAAATATAATTTCTTTAAAAAATGTTAAGAATGCCGTTAATTAATGGAGCAAAAATGAATACAGTCGCCTTCTTGAAAAGGTTGTGTTCATTAAAAAGTCAACCGGTATCAGTGGTGATTGCAAATAAAAATTTGTCATTATAAAACTATAGATTCATACGTTTCGTTTTATTATGTTAATTTATAATATTTTCCTGGAAATTTCTACGGGTTTAGATGGTTGTTTGTTGTCATTTCTAATCATCTCTGATCCCCCACCTCTCTTTATTTGTGCATGCTTCAATTACACCATCAATGTGCCCAGCCGACCGACGCGGTATTTCATAAACAAAGAAAACAACTTCTGACATCGTTGAATAGGTGGAATGTTTCACAAACGTTAACAGACGGGCCTTAGACGGTAAATGGGCAATTTTCAGAAAGATTGAAAAACAGACGAAGGATCTAATCTTAAATTGGACTTTCAGGTCTTACAAACGTGTGTACATCCGAATAAATTTCGCGTACTAGTAGGTAGGGATAACAATATTAACCCATAATGGCATCGATAATCGAGTCTTGGACGAGAACTTTCATCCTGAAATTCTAGGGCATTTGGCGAGTCCGAAGGACGTTATTAGAAACCACTTTCATCTCACTGACGAATTAAGTTAAATGTGCCGGACGCTTTCGATTAAAATTGGCCTTTCTGAGTTTTGGAACGGCATCCGGCCAGAATCGAAGAATCGAACGATTTCCGCCGGCCCCGGGTGTTGAAGACCTGCCCTGCAAGGGCTCACTTCCGGACACTCGCGGAACTAAGGTCCCTTGAACAATCCACCTGTTCCGATGAAATACTACTAATTACTTAGACCGGAACTGCATAATTGTTTGCCCGGAGAATCGTTGATTATTATGCTAGTGCTTACCTACCCTTTTCTACGGTGAAAACACTTCTATCCTGCAACAAATAAAAATAAAAACATAAATACCACAATAAAAATGTTTTATGTTTTATTAAAAATAGTTACTATAAGTAGCAAGTTAAAAATTATTCATATGAACAGGTCATTATATTATTGTACATGAGGAGTATGCAGAGATTTGAGCTTATGGGATGTCCTCTTGAGACATGCGAGGAGATGGATCCAGAAGTTAGATCGTTTCCATTTATTTTTATATTCCTACGTTTGCTGTTTCATAAACAGATACCTTCAGAATTTCAAATTCAGTTTTAGCCATACACATTACCGAGGATTACCCAAAACCTAAACGCGCCTCACAGACCAATAGATCAAAAATTATTAAATTACCCTCATTTTATTTATTAAAATGGTAGAAAATATCTAAAGTACCATTAACATAGCTTTTAACAAATAAAAATTAATATTGAAATTAGAAAGGTTTTATCATTGAGGATGGCGAAAATCCTAAACGTGTCTGGTAAGCCAAAATGACCGGAAATGAGTGAACTAAAGCACGTCATTCTTATCTATTTAAGCGATAGGACAATATTTAAAGTAAACATTAAACATAGCCTTTTACAAGAAAAAACTGATATTGATTCTGCGCATCTTTGAGGATGATGAAAAACCTAAGTGAGTCTGACACACCAAAACAATCGGAAATTATTAATCTATGTCGTTTTTCGTCATTCTTACCCATTCAAGCGATAAAACATACTGACACTAAAAATCACCGAAGATAACGAAATATCAAAATGCGAAAAACCTAGCAGACAAATAATGATCAGAAATTATTAATCCAGATCATTTTTCGTCATTCTGATCTATTTAAGCGTAAAGACAACACTAAACGTAGCTTTTTATAAGCAACAGCTGATGGAACGTAATGATTAATTTATATACATAACTTTGAAGATCAAAGACTCAACTCAAAGGTCTTAACTTTCTTTCAGAAAAACCTGAAATTTCAGTTCATCAAAACCTAAAAATTCCAACCTTTCTTTCTCGATAAAATACCAAATTCGAGCCTTTCTGTCAAAACAAAACTTAAATTATCAGCCCTTTACTCATGAATACATTTAAAAAGCCAGCCTTTCTGCAAGGAAAACCAACAACCTGCCAGTCCTGCGAGATTAGTACCACCTTTCTTTCTTGATAAAACTATTTCTAACAACCTCGTTGTTCCCTGCATACAAAAGCTGTTCTTACAGGAAAACTCTCATCCAATAGCCTTGCATGAAAAAGCCGCCTTTCTCTCATGGAAAATCTGAAATATCAGTTCATCTGCCAGGAAAACTATAAATACCAATCTTTCTTTCTTGGTAAAACACGAATGTCATGGTATTTTTCTCTATCATGAAAAACCTAGAATATCAGATTATCTGTCCGGAAGAACTGTAAATACCAACCTTCTTTCTTGATAAAATATGAATTTTTCCTTGCTATTATGAAAACTGGAAATACCAGCTTTTTCCTATAAAAAAAAGAAATGTGAACCTTTCTGCCAGGAAAAAGAACCTACAAATTTTGCATGAAAAATACTAACCTTTTTTTCTTGATAAAACTAATTCTAACAATCTAGTCTCTATTAAAAAAACTAAATACTAGTCTTTTTCTGACGACACACCTGCAACATAAGCTCTTCTGTCAATAAAACCTTAAGCATTTCATTCATGGTAAATGACGATATACCATTATGAAAACCTTGAAGTACCAGATATTCTCTTATGAAAAAGTTCGATATGATAGCCCTTCTGCCAGGAAAATTTAATTTTTTTTAATATAATACTTATATTTTTAAAAAACTTTCAAATTTAAATCTTTCTTTGATTAAAATTCAATTTGCCCACTATTTCAAAGGGGATTCCGTACCAGGCCAAATAAACCGCCTACCAGTAAAAAAATTCTTGGTAAAAAAACACCTCCTACCAGAAAAATAATAACCGGCCTCCTGTATTATACATAAGAAAACTATAGTTATTCATGAGGACCAAGTCCGACAGTAGTCTTTATGTGTGGGTTCGAGTAGGTCAGTCACAGATGTTTTCCTTTCTAAATGGGCTTCGTCTTGACCGATCCATGGCCCTTAAATAAATAGCCCCGACTCGACGGAGAAGGCGAGGCGTGGGAGAGTAACTTACAGGACCTTTAAAACCAGTACGGCATTCCTGCGGTGGCCGATTGATGGGGAGTCAGGCCGTATTAAGGGTTGCCTCCCCGCAAAGAGCCCTCTCCTCGATTTCATAAACTTTTTCCTCTTGTTATAAAATTCAGTGGTCTGGGATCTGGCTCACGCCCGTCCAACGTTTTTTCTTCTCCCTTTGGACAAGGTCTCATATTTCCGTTACGAAATACGCCTTCGAACGCCATATCTTTTCATGTTTAAGGTGAAGACATAAAAACGAGAGAATTTTAAGGCCTTTCTCTTTAATTACGACTCAATCCTTAGCCTTAATAAAAAAAACTCCCACGCGCTCTCAGGCTCAAAAGTGTTTTTACAATACTCGAAATCGTGGGTATTCAAAGTTTTTAAAAGCGGTAACAAGGTGTCCCTTGAGAAAACGTGCGGTGACGCATGGCGCTCCGGGAGGTCTGCTTCTACCATGTGAAAACCATTAGACACCCCTGTCACCAGTAGCACAATAGTATTTTCGAACTGGATATATTATAACATTCAAAAAGTCTATTCTCACTCTAATGGTGTGAACAGGCAAACTCAAGACACTTGATAATCTATCATCTAAGAAATCAAAAACTAGCTTTTTACTCTAATTTTCCTTATATTAATAATATACCAACTAAAAACTTTACTTTTCAACTATAGCTTTAAAGTTTAATTCAATGCCACAACTATTGTTTGTTTTCTATTTGTTTTGAACGTTTCAGGTTAAAGGTCAAAGACATACATAGTACCATGAATCATAACAGTGACAGTAAAGGACATTAAATTTACTAACGTTTATTTTTTATGTCTCTCGGGCACAGAGATTTTAATTGTTCGTCTATTTTTAATACACGACGGATTGAGAGTACAATGGATCATATACAACGTAATTAGTGGCGGAATTTTTCGAAGAATGGGGGTGTTTTAAATTTACGACCCGCGATAAACTGTCTGCGATTATTCGCATTAAATATTTGCTTTTGAATTAGTTAAGAAGCAAAAAACTGTGATAAAAATTGTCGACGTCTTTTTACAAATACAGAGTGAGACACATCGCCATTATAAAAAGTCAAACAACGAAAATTTTGGAATTAATTATTAAATAAAGTTAAATAATTTTAGTAAAGGCCTTCTGATAAAGGCTATATAATAATAAAACTTGATAAAGCAGCTTTTCCGCCGCTAAAAAACTAGAGTTAACATATTTTCTGCGAGAAAGACTTGAAGTACCAATGCAGCATGAAAAAGAACTGCCTTGCTCTCATAATTCAGTCTGAAAAAAACCTTGAAATACCAGCATTTCTGTCTTGATAAAATTAGTTCTTTCCTCAATACAATATTTTGTTCCAACCTTTTTGAAAAATCTCTCCTACCAGCCCTGAATGATAAATAAACAGCGTTTCTCTCATGAACGAAAAATCTGAAATATCAGCTCGGAAAAACTCGAAATAATTGCCAACTCCATTAAATTCACTAGTTTTCGTGGTCCGCTTGACCAATTAATATCATTCAAATAATTAAGGTTTTTTGTTGAAATAAAAAAATCAGATGGGAGGTTGGTGCCCGGGTGGATCGAAGTCACGATAGCTCAAGTGGTAGAGTAGCGGCGTATCAAGCCTAAGGTCGTGGGTTCGAATCCCGCTCGTGACACTGCATTTTATCTCAACAAAAAACCTTAATTAATTGAATAATTAACAACTTTTCACTCTTGATAAAACTTTAAATAGCAGCTTTTATCTCATAAAAAGGAAACACCAATTTTTCCGACAGGAAAAATCTCAGCTACCTGTCCCGCACAATAAAAACCAGCCTATCCTTCTTGATAAAAACTACCCTATTTTCTGTTTAACCATCTATTCTCCATAAAAAATTGAAATACCAGCTTTTTTTAATGGAAACATCTAACTTACTAGCCTTGCAGGATTAAAACCTGCCTTTCATTAAAAACCTGAATTATTAGCTCAGCTTGATTAAAAGAAGTTATTCTCTCGTGAAAAATCTAGATTATCAAAAAGCCAGCCTTTTTGCCATGACAAAGTGGAATTACCAGCCCTTTCTCTCATGAATACATTTAAAACGCCAGCCGTTCTGCTAGGAAAAACAACGTACCAGTCCTGCAAGATAAGTTCCTGCCTTTCCTTCTTGATAAAACTACCCTATTTGTATTATAACACTCTATTCTTCATTTTAAAAAAACTGAAATACCAGCCTTTTTGTCTGAAAACACCTCACCTACCAGCCCTATATGATTAAAACCAGCCTTTCATTAAAAACCAGAATTATTAGTTCTTCTCTTCAAAATCTTTAACTGACTTTTAATTGGAACTTTTTTTTCTTGGTATGTCATAAGCTACCAGCCTTTCTGCCACAATAAAACTATGAACAACTTGATTGGATTTGATATTCGATTTGAAATACTAGCCCTTATGTTAATAAAAACGCCATTAAAAACTATTCAAACCGTCTATCTTCAAACAGTTGTTTATTTATCATCGTAGTATGTTGTACATAATTTTTAAAATCATGATAGTAATTAATTATTATGTACAATCGGGTTTTCAAAGCACGTATGGTATATTTTACAATGTTAGAATGTATCACGGTAGTAAAATTAATAATTCTTAAAGCCTTTTTATCGATGCTGGTCCTTTATCGATGAATATAATGCAAGGAAGAAATATTCAAATCGCGAGATTTAAGTACCTGCCGTGTCTTGTGCAATAAAAGAACAAAAATAAGACATAAACATGGGAGTGCTATTTATGGACCATGAATTTCCCTTAGCAGAAACAAGAGCCTTAACGAATCCACTTTACAGATTGACTGCTCGCG